GCTGGTCTATACACATTGTATTTAGAAAGGTTTGACTATATATGATAATCTTAGATAGACAATTATATTTGATATTGAATTATTATGGATATATTTTGCTTTACACTTTTCATCTTTTCTATATTTTTTAACCATAACTTGGCATACATCTGCTGGTCTGTCTTTTGTATCAACTATTTTAAAATATTTCCATACAAAGTTCTTTTTACTCCTACTTCTTTTTTTATTAGTACTAGTTAATATATTTAAAAAAGAAATTATGTTACTGTCATTGTTATTACTATCACTTTTGTCAGTATATAGATTTTTTTGAAGACTTGATTCTTTTTTGGGATTTATTTTACTTTTATTTGAATATTAAAATATAATAATAAAAAAAATCTTTAGTTCATATAGAGAAAACAATAGAACTTTACAAATTATGATGTGGTTAAAGTTAATTTAAATCAATAATATAAGATCAATAAAAATTTAAATTTATAAGTATAAATTTGAAGGCTTTATTCAAGTTAAAAATAATAATTTAAATATATTTTTTTAAATATCTAAATATTATATCTTTGCTACAACACAATTAACTTAATCATCATATTTTTTCTTACTCTTTCCAATGATCACTTGTACCAAAATTTTTTACTAAAAAAAAAACACAACTACTGCTAGAAAGTCATGGTCTATGTAGTGGTTTGTCTAGAGGTTAATGTTTACTTTTGTGGGACTCCTTTAAAAGATATTTGATATGCAAACCAAAAGTGTTATTATACAAGATAACTGGCAAGTGATGCTCTTGTATAAAAAATCTTGGTGAATAAACAAAGTCTTTTTCATTGACAAAGCTTACTAGACTGTTAACAAAAATACAAGAGAAACAACAATAGTTGTAAACTTCAATACACTCCTTTGAAATTTTGAAAGTACCTAACTTCAAAAACTACTTTCCATATTCCCACCAGGTTTTTTGATGTTTTTCTCGAAATTTTTTCCAAAATATAGAAATTTTAGCATATCTTTTACTAAAAATCGGCATTGCTTATATAACCAAATTGGGTATAGTGAGTCATGAGGATGTCATGTTCTACACATGCAAATTATAATGAATGATATATAGCAGATCTGTAGAGTAAATAAAAAAAATTTTCATATTCCCTACAATATAAATCTATTTTAATATATAAGTAAAGCAAAGGTGGAAATTGTTTTACGAAGTATTAAATAATTTTTTATCACTATGTATAGACATTTTTGAAAATAGTGCATTCATATCTTTCTTTTTTCTTTTTGCTCTTTTCTGTTTTTTATTTTTTTGTTCTATTTTTTCTTTTTGTATTTGGATTACGTTTAGATTTTTGTAGTATTCGTCTTTTTTTTACTTTTCTTTTTTTAATTAATTTTTTTTATACTTGTCATTCTTTAGACAAGGATTATAGAATCATCAGAAAACTAAATATGATGCAGATCTGTACAAATCTGCAACTCTGAAAATTTTTAACAAATTTCACAATCTTATGATTTATCAATCAGAACTTAACGAATCTGGTTCCATTTGAACCATCTTGCTGAGATGAATCGAATAGTACTAAACTTATTAGAATTCGATTACTAGATCACGAAATAATTGTATTTAAATAAAATTTGCAGCCATCTCACAATCTTGTTAACTAGTGGTCCAAATTTAATGATTTTAATACCATTCGATTCTTCTTGATGAGTTTGTTTAAATAGTACCAAAAACGTTAAAATCAAATCACTGGTTCACAAGATATTTGCAAAATATATTTCACAGCGCAGTTTTGCACAGAACTGTAGATTTTTTTGTGCAGATCTGCACAAAACTGTGCCATGAAACATATTTTGCGAATATCTCACTAACTAGTAATTTGATTTTAACATTTTTGGTACCATTTGAACCGTCGCATCGAGAGGAATCGAATAGTACCAAAATCATTAAATTTGGACCACTAGTTTACAAGACCATGAGGTGGTTGCAAATTTCATTTAAATGCGATTATCTCATGATCCAGTGATCAAACTTTAATAAATTTAGTACTATTTGATCTATCTCATCGAGACAGTCAAATGGTACCAGATTCGTTAAGTTCTAATCAATAGATTATGAGATATCGTGAAATTTGTTAAAAATTTTCAGGGTCACAGATCTGTGCAGATCTGCACTATATTTATTTTTCTGATGATCCTTTTGCTTGGATATTAAGAAAAGAAGAGTTTTAAGAAAATTAGCAGTTGTGACATATCTATAGATGCTATTCAGTGATCTATTTGTTTTCTTTGGTAGCAGGAGAAATGAGTAGAGAGATAAAGTTCTACTATAGCAAGTTGAACATAAGTACATATTTGATACAACCAGGTTAGTTAAAACTTGTAAGTTAGGTGACCAAAGCAATTGTTTTGGTAAAATTAGTTGATAGTGTAGTTTGTTAATTTATGTTTAATAAAGTTTTAGCTAGAGATTGTACTTATATAAGGTTACCCAAGTAACCCGCATAACACCTATTAACCGGGTTATGACCTTTGCTATTGGGTGACCCATATTAGTTATCTGTAAACTCATGATGCAATTGTTCTCATAAAATTTGAACATCTGGTGAAAAATTGACCAAATGATTGTTTGGATGATTTGATAAGTTTGTAATTCAGCAGTAATAAAATTTTTGTTTTGAGTAGTAAAATATTTGGTATATAACAAACATGATCTAAAAGGCCATAATAAGTAAAAATGAGACGTCATACAGTATGACCAGGGTTGGTCAAATTACTGGTCGACTAAAAATTGGTTGGTCAAACTGGTCTGGTCAAGCTTGACTATTGACCGGTCTGTGCCAACCCTGAGTATGATGTATGCTCGATTTATATTTGGGTTACCTGGGTGACCCGGTTTGTATCCCGGTAATGATTTTTTGTATGGGCAAGTAACCCGGAGTTAAAATTTTTGACGGGTACAATCTCAAGTTTTAGCATGACTGCTGAATTATAAAAAAAAAATAAAAAAATTAACATTATCTCTTAATAAATATATAATTCTGCAACTCTAACAAACTTATTATTAATTATCATGCCCCCCTAATAATAATTAAATGATTTTCTATTACTAGGTAAATGGAAACTATTTAAAGTCCGAAGAACTTATCACAGATCAGTTTGACAATGAGTATTTTTAGAGAAATGTTTGTTTTTATCAGATCAACAAATCAAACCCCTTAATTTGCGGACACATACATATCCAGGTCACTATGACTCTCCCATAATGTTCTTAGGACAATTATTTTGTTCTCTTAATAATAATCAGATGATTTTTGTAGCTTCAATTATCTTGTTCTTTTAATAATTATCATATGATTCTGTGACTAATAACTTGGGGTGTTCTCAAGCCCCTTTAATTGGTGAAGTCAGTAAACAGAGCAACAGGGCTGCTGAAGTTGATGCTTCGCCAGAATATTTTTGATAATTCACAGTATTTGCTTCTTGTTTAACGGTTGGTTTTGGTTTTTTATTTTTTTATTTTATTTTTTGACAAATAATAAAAGAACCGCTCAAATATTGATTGCAATGTTTATTTAATTGATTATATTAAATGAGTATCATTACGATCACTAATTAATCACATCAAAGATGGTGCTTGAGAAAATTTCAATTACATCATAAATTACATATTCGAATTCTCAATAAAAATTTATGTAATTATAATTTTGCTTGCGATCACTTGCTAATCACATCAGAATGACGCTTGAGAATAACACCCTTGTTCTCTTATTATCCAACGATCCTGCAACTTCAATTGTTGTTCTTATACGATCTGGCCTCTTGGAATGCATTATTAAACTTGTACCGAAGTCAAAAATTTATCGAATCGGCCAAACAGTCATCTTATGAATAATTAATCCGGGTCACCCGGTTAACAGGTGTTAACCGGGTTACCCGGGTAATAGTAACTCTTATACGGGTACAAGCTCTACCCACAACCCTAATCCTATTACAGAAATATCATAGAAATATCAGGTTCCGATTTTTGTTGATTTTTGGCGACTATCGTGACTAGAGATGTACCTTGCAAGTGATGATGATTTCATCCTCGCGCAAGTTATTACACCATACCTTGCGCAAGGTAGATCCTTAATTTAAAATATTAACGGAACTAATGATTTCACTAGATCAAAATTCCGCTTTAGATGACGTTACCTTGCACCTCGCGCAAGATCATATGATTTGTAGAATATATGCTAGTTTTACCTTGCGCAAGGTACATCTCTAATCGTGACAACAACAGAGACATATCAGGTGCTGATAGAGCTATCAGTAAGTTATCAGAACTGACATGTGTCTGATAGCTTACTGATAGCTCTATCAGCACCTGATATGTCTCTGTTGTTATCACGATAGGCGCCAAAAATCAACAAAAATCGGAACCTGATATTTCTATGATATTTTTCTGATCTACTTTTTTTTCGACCTGTGTACATTTTGCCAAACATTTATATTTTTTATTAACACAAAATTGACGAATCAAAAAGCATAAAACGGTTTGGTAGGTATTTTAATTTTTTTTTTTTTTTGTAATTTATTTTTTTACTTTCTATTGTGAACTTTCAGCATTACTATTTTTTTTTTTCTACAAAAATATGCTGCTTTTTTATAATATTATACAGTATTCACTATTTATTTCCCGGATTCTTGTAATTTAATTGTTCTTTTTGGGCACTGTGAATAAGTTTTTGATATTTATTTATTTTTGATATTTATTTATTACTTTAAACCGTATTAAAAAAAATTATAGCATTTCTTGATTTGGTTATATCGGCATTGACTTTTTTCCTCGTCCAAAGACGATTTGATACTTAGTTATAATCACGTGGATGCATTTTATGCGCATAGTGCCCATCTCTACACCTGCACGTTTTATACGTGCTATTAAGAGTACGCGCATGGGCATTATTTTGAGACAAAGATAAAATTTCTTCCAAGCCTGTATGCTATATCTAATGGATATGTTTCGGAATACTTTAAAAACTTATCCTTACACAAGTAATCATTCTTTACAAAGGTCATTTCTAGCTTTAACAAAACTAACTTCACAAATAATTTTTAATTTAAGAAGGCTTAATAATAATTTTTGAAAAAAAAAAGCTTTATGGTTTCTAACAGAAATAACTACCGTATTTTCACGAAATAACGACATGGACGTTATCTAGAAAATCGCATCCCCAAAATGGCATGCATAGGAAATAATTAAATAAGTTACCCGGGCAACTTATTTGTGTTAGCAGATAGAATAATTTCTGTCTACGATCTGTGAAGTCCTTCAAAATAATCATAAACCAAAGAAAAAAAATGGGTCTTTTATATTTCAAGTTACACAGATAAATGGTAATCCTCACGATAATAAATATTTGGATCATTGGGTCATAACGCATTACACTTGCAATTGTTGTATATGGGCGACTCCAAGTAAGAACTATTGGTTCAGAAAAATAGTTTATATATTCGTCAACAACAAATCAGATTTTTTAATCATACCATATAAAATGAACCATTTAAAGATCAAGAATTCATACTTTTCTTTGACGATACCATGTATTAACAATATATAATCTTAAAAGCATCACAAAAAAATATAAATCTCCGCGGTGACATTCACTATATTAGCTGTATGACAAAGTATAAAAAGATTAAAAATTAACGATTAAAAAGGTCATAATTTGGTTTTACAAACTACAATTTCAAATCATCAAGTTAATAATATATCGATATTATTTTGGTATCACAATATTATCAAAAGTAAACCTAGATCACAATGGCATGCCATAATTAATACTTATAAATTGCGCAGAGTCTGTTAGTTATTTTCTTGTTATCGGATAATAGCAAAAGCACGTGTCCGAAGGCCTCGTGCGTTGCAATTATGCCTGGTAACTAGTTTATCTGGCAGGTATGACGTATACACTTACGGAAAAAATCTTATATTACTTCCGCAAATTTTATATTTTAATAAAAATTTGCGGAAATAAAGTGAAATTTTTTTCGTCAGTGTTTACATAGTACCTTCCGGATAAATAAATTTGTCAATTGCATTTACATTTTTTCAGGTTTAAGAATATTCGTTAATTAGCAAAATTAATTAAATGTAAAGGTTTGGTCTCTGAAAACCAGAAATCTTGTAACAATATAATCCTATTTTTTTACAGCAGCTATAGTACTTTAAAATGGGTGAAATTCGTTATGAGCTGTATTTCATAGATTATGCGTATTATTAGCTGACGTAAATAATTATCAAGAAGTCAAGGTGGATATCGAAATAGGTATTAATAAATACAAAATTTTGACACAATCAGAAAAAGATTATTTGACCTATCAATTTGGTATTCTATGTGATAAGGTTAACATTTCTAATATCTAAGAAAGGTAAACAAAGAGAATGTGAAAATTGCAAAAATCGAACTTATGCTCAACAATATTGTGAATATTGTATAATAAATTATTTAAAAAATCAACTCAATGATTGGTCTTCTGGTAACGTTGAAATCGATAAACTAATCCAGGAATGTCAATTAAATGTACAAAGACCAGATTATATTGTTGAATGGATACCATATAAAAATTTTAGCGACATTAAATTTAAAACTAAAGGAGGATGCGCTTCTATTTATAATGCGATTTGGAAAGATGGAAGGTTTGATACGTGGGATAAGGAAAATCGTCGGCTTAAAAGGGCTGGTACACAACATGTTGTTCTTAAGCAAATAAATTGAGTAATAAATGGATAATTGAGGTTTGCTATTTATGTTTTAGGATACGTATCATTTCACCGACAACCATTTCGCCGACATCTCATTTCACTGACTCGCTAACAAGTTCATTTCACTGACAATCATCTCACAGACATTTTGTTCATCGACATGTTTACATGTTTAGTTCACCGACAATTGATTCACAGGCAATCATTATACCGACAAGCTTATTTCACCGACAATACGTTTCACCGACAGTACGTTTCACCGACGATACGTTTCGCCGATAAGTTTAATTACTAATAATATATACTATATACAATTAATAAAAATGCTAACCTAACCCTATATGATGTCATTTAAATGAGAAATGGCCACCAGAAAAATGAGCAATAGCGGAGTTATCAATTAAACTTGTCGGTGAAATGTATTGTCGGTGAAACGTACTGTAGATGAAAGTATTGTCGGTAGAGATGGGCAAAGTAATTTTGTAAGTAATAATGACCTATGACTTATCCCTTACTTAATATTAAGTAATATTAAATAATTATTACATTCAATTATCTATTACGTGTACATATAAACACATGATAAAAGTCGGAGACGGGTGATCAAAATCGAGATTGAACGAAAAGTTGTTACTAATGATAAAATTACTGTAAAATCACTTAATAATACTTATTCAAGGTAATATTAAGTAATATTAAGTAATAATATGTAACTGACTTTGCCCATCTCTAATTGTCGGTGAAATAAGCTTGTCGGTGTAATGATTGTCTGTGAATCAATTGTCGGTGAACTAAACATGTCGGTGAATTACTGTAAACATGTCGATGAACTAACTTGTCGGTGAATCGACTATCGGTGAAACGAGGTGTTGGCGAAATGATTGTCGGTGAAATGACCATGTTTATATTTTATATTGACAAATTTTCATTTACTACAATAATAATTCCTTTAGGTCAAGTCACATTTGAACTTTATGAACAAGATCGCTTATGTTGTTCGTTGTCATGGAATAACCCGTGATCCCAATACGCAAGATTTCATGCTAGTATTAAACCTTATGGAATGTAGTTTACGAGAATATTTACTACAATACAATGAACATATTATATGGGAAGAAAGAATTAGGATTGTTTATGATATTGCATATTCCCTAGATATGATTCACCAATTAGATGCTATCCACAGAGATTTACACTCAGGGAATTTTCTCCGAACTAGGTTTTCAAAATGGTGGTATATTAGTGACTTTGGTTTATATGGTTCTGTAACTCAAGAACAAGGGGATGTATATGGAAACCTTCCATATATAGCTCCAGAAATGCTAAATCGCAAACTAGCAACGAAAAAGTCTGACATATATAGTTTCGCAATGTTAATGTGGGAAATATTATTTGGAATGACACCATTTAATAATCGTAACCATGATTTTAATTTGGCTTATGATATATTGGGAGGTGAACGACCACCAATCGACAATTCTACGCCATGTTGGTATGCTGAATTGATGAAACAATGCTGGGACGCTATTCCCACAAATAGACCCTATTCAAATCAAGTTTTAAGTGAAATAAGAAAACAATTGCAAACAATTTATCAAAATGAATTAAAAAGCAATAAACCTATTCTGGATACAATACTTGATGATAAAAAGACCAAAAATCAAACTTTTTCGTCGTCTGAAACAACTTTAAGCAATGTATATAACTTTAAAAACCTTCCTGAACCACGCAATAAAATTCAAGGTAATTTTATTTGAATTATTTATATATATATATATATATATATATATATATATTTCATTCCAAATTGTAATTTGTCCTGGATGGGAATTTTGTAATTTAAACCTAAAATTGTACTAAAAATTTTATTATAAACCTTAATTCTGCTATAAAATCTAATTCTGATCAGATAATTTAGTGATAACTAGAATTTAAATACGAAATTCGTGTCTGAAATATTTCGGCTTATTCAAACTAGTTCGATATAAACCGTAACAATTTTTGGCAAAAGCAAAAACAATTTCGGCCGCATGTATAACATAGGGCATGACATATACCAATGTTGGCAATTTTATCGGCCAAACCAAATTTGCTTGGCCGAAAAAAAACTACGAACTTGGCCGAATTGGCCGTTTTCTGGCCGGTAAAAATTTCTAACACTGTCATATATTATATATATGAATTAACATATATATATATACATATATTAATGAACATATAGTAAATACTTGGTTTTATATGCTATTAATAGATATTGCCTTAATTTAATTAACAACATCTTAATTTTAGGCTATAACTTTAATATACATGACACATTAACTACTGAAGATATACTTAAACGTAAAATAGATAATTATTTAAATTTTTACACATAAATATTATCTTTAACTAGTATTAATACATATACTTTATATTTATTAATAGATCTTACGAAAGATGAAGAATTTTTCACCTTATTTGAGGAATAATGATTTTTTTATTACTTCATAGATACTCACCGTTCAAATCCGGAACTATTATGGTTTGAGTTGTCCGCACCAAAATTTCAAATCTATCCAAATTAATACCTCGAAATCTTTATCAATAGTTGAAATTTTCTTAGTATACGGGATATAGATCCACATAAAATAATAATAATAATAATAATAACTAAAATATGGCGGAGGTTTTTTATGTTACATGTTGTATTCTAAAATAGAGCACATAGTTTATTGAAAAATCAAATATTTTGTTTTATTTAATGCTTTACTATGATCAGCTTATAAAATAAATCAATTATTTTGTTATTTTTAAATGATAAAATAATTGAACTATTTCATAAATCTGAGATAGTAAATCATAAAATAAAACCGTTATTGCATACTTCGTATGCAATAACTATATAATATTTTTTTTATCGAATTTTGCACAATATAAAATATAATTTTTATAAATAAATCATGATTATAACATATTATAACTCAAGAATCAAATCAAAATAAAGTAGCTCTAAATTAAATTACCGTATTTTCACGTAATAACACTCATGAGCGTTATTTAGAATAATGGCCCGAATTAAGCTTAATTTGGGTCAAAATTTGAAACTACACCCTGCGCGTTATTTCGCGAAAATACAATAGCTAATTTGTGTAATTTGTGTATTAAAATGTACATTTGAAATATAATTTTAAAATGAGTATTGCAAAATTAAAATTGAGCAAATTAATTATTATTTATATATAAAGTTGTGTTTTGATATTTTAAAATATAAATATGGAATTATATACTATATACATAATATATCAGATACAGCATACGCATGTATCAATATATGATATTGTCTTTATAAGAGCCTTTAGTATTAACCAATTAGAAAGCACATTCTTTTTTAAAATTGGCATGCCTTTTTGCTTAAAGGCATGTCTAGCCCCCAAAGAGGCCAGAAGCAGTCAGCTATTTTCATAATTTCTGAAACACCTAAATTTGCCGAATAATTTTCGGCCGATTAAGTTAGTGAATCGGTATAAATGTTGCTTTTGCAGTTTTGCATCATATGTGATGCATATGATACAGATCGTTACCATACTCAATATTAATAAATTTTCGCCGAGTGCATATCCAACATGCTTGGTGTCATCAGGAAATTTTGAAAACTGATTGTAATCGATTAAAATCATCAGATTTTAATCGATTATTATCACCCCGCCGATTACACGCGATAAAGATTTTTATTGATTATAATAAAACTAATCGATTATAATCGATTTAATTTAATCGCTTTTAATCATAATCGACTATTATCGATTTTGATTTAAATCAAT